TTCGAGGGTTGCTGGGGGTCCAGCGTAAGTGACGCCCTACGCAGATTCAGATTAGCCTTGATTTCCTTTCCCGCAGGCCGCCCGAAGACCTGGTGTCGCGCCCGCGAGCGTGTAACTCCAGCGCCGAAGGGGGGAAGCAGAGAAGCTGGTGGGGGAGCTCGGCCTTGCCCGCTTCTCGTACGAGCTATGCACAGCTGATCCCCTCGGGCGCCAGAGGGACATGGCGCGGGCCGCGCTGCTTGTCCAGCGTGCCAGTGGAAACAAATCGCCGTCCTCCTTCCTCGACCTGCTTCTTTCGTTGTCGTCCTCTTCCTCCTTCCCACCGCGTCACTGCTGCTGTCGCGTTGCTGTTTCGGCCCCCCTTCAGCCTTTCTCCTGCTCCAGAATTCCCACCCCCCTTTCCTCTGAAGTCTCATGTTTCTTTGAATCCCGGCGTCGTTCCTGTGTTTCGGCTCATGGGCCTGGCGGAGTCTTGGCAAGGCTTCGGCAAGAAATCATCGACGGACTCAGTAGCAAGGGCCGCTCGGCAATCGGCAAAGTGGCGAGCCCCAGGGCCGCCAAGCGCAGATGCGGGGCGAGAGCTTGTCTCCAGGGATGTGGTCGAGAGCTGTGGGGCGCGGACAGGGGCCGCAGGACTCGGGGCGCACGCCACGGGGTTCAGTCGTTCGGACTCTGACATATATATATATATGTATATATATATATGTATATATATATATATGTAGATATGTGCTGCGCTACGTGTGCGTCGCCTTCGCACAGGGGCGGCGCGCGCACGCCGAGGCGTCTTGAAGTTATGAGCGCTCTGGCGGGCGTGGTCTGGCCGTGCAGGTGGGATAGCAGCATGCTGCAGCATGTTCGTGCCGCCCGCTCCTGTAACTACGACGCGTGAGCCTTCTGGCGCTCCGGCGCCCCCGCCGGGCTCTCACGGGGCCGTCCCCCCGGGACGTTCTCAGGCGCTCTCTCTCAGGGCTCAAGAGACGGGGGTTAATGCAAACGGGGGTCAGCCAAAGCGCCGGATCTCGAAGGATCCTGCAGGGCAAGGGGTGCAGTGATCCAGGCTTGGGGTCAGGATCCTGCAGGATGCTGCAGGACCTTGCAGGATCCTGCAGCGCCCGATTGACCTGGGTTTGCATTGACCTGGGTCAGCGCGTCCCCGACTCTCTCTCTCTCTCTCTATCTCTCTCTCTCTCTCGGGACGTCTGCAGGTATAAATATGTGCATGTATGCATGCATGCATGTATGTACGTACGTATGTAGGTAGGCAGGCATGTATGTATGTATGTTTGTATGCATGTCTGTCTGTCTGTCTGTCTGTCTGTCTGTCTGTCTGTCTGTCTGTATGCATGTGTGTATGTATGCATGTATGTATATATACATGTATATGTGTGTACGTGTGTGTATGCACGTATGTATATGTATATGTATATGTATGCATTTATGCATGCGTGCATGCATACATGTCTGTCTGTCTGTCTGTCTGTCTGTATGTATGTATGTATGTATGTATATATGTATGTATGTGTGTATATCTATGTATGTATGTCTGTCTGTATGTCTGTCAGTCTGTATGTATGCATGCATGTCTGTATGTAGATATGCATGTTTGTTTGTATGTATGTATATATGCATGTATGCATGCATGCATGTATGTAGGTATGTATGTAGGAGTGTGGGTATGTGTGTATGTATGTATGCATGCATGTATGCATGTATGTGTATATGTATGTATGTATGCATGCATGCATGTATGTACGTGTGTGTATGTATGTATGTATGTATGTATGTATGTATGTATGTATGTATGTATGTATGTATGTATGTATGTATGTATGTATGTATGTGTATGTATGTATGTATGTATGTATGTATGTATGCATGCATGCATGCATGCATGCATGCATGCATGCATGTATGTATGTATGTATGTATGTATGTATGTATGTATGTATGTATGTATGTATGTATGTGTGTGTGTGTATGTATGTATGTATGTATGTATGTATGTATGTGTGTATGTATGCATGTATGTATGTATGACTGTGTGTGCATGTATGTAGGTGTGTGTGTGTATGTACGTATGTATGTATGTATGTACGTACGTATGTATTTATGCATGCAGGTATGTATGTATGTAGGTATGTAGGTATGTAGGCATGTAGGTATGTAGGCATGTAGGTATGTAGGTATGTAGGTTTGTAGGTATGTAGGTTTGTATGTATGTATGTAGGTAGGTAGGTAGGTAGGTAGGTAGGTAGGTATGTACGCATGCATGCGTGCAGGCAGGTAGGTAGGTAGGTAGGTATGCATGCATGCATGCATGCATGCATGTATGTACGTATGTGCGTACGTATGTCTGGATGCACCTATGCATGCATGTATGCACAGGGCTATCCCCCCGGGACATTTTCCGGCGCTCTCTTTTTCTCTCTCTCTCTCTCTCTCTCTCTCTTCTGGCGGCCGTGCGCCTCCCGATGGGAAGCTTACGTTGGCCCTGTCCCTCTACATGAGGAATATTCAAAATTAGTAAAAAACAAATGGGGGACTATTTTTTGACTATTTTTGAGCATTTTGGGAGCATTTTGCAAGTATTTCTAATTTTTCGCTCAAGCTCTCCCTGTAGGGGGACAGGCCCGACCTGACGGGAGGCACGTGGCGGCTGGTGTGCCCCAGCCTGGCGGGTGGGTGCCGGCCGGTTCCTTTTGCGGCCCCTTCTCTCCCTTCTCCCTCCTCCTCCTCCTCCTCCTCCTCCTCCTCCTCCTCCTCCTCCTCCTCCTCCTCCTCCTCCTCCTCCTCCTCCTCCTCCTCCTGGGAGCCACGCGGAGCGCCTCCTCGCTTCTCCCCCTTCGGTATCGTTTTGAACCAATCCCCATCCCCATCCCCCTCCCCTTCGAACCCTCCCCCCAAATGACCACCCCAGGTGGGGATACGCCCCTCGAAGCCCGAAGGGCACGGCCTATATCCCCATCTAGGGCGGTAAATCGGCCGGTGTGGCCCAGGCCACGCCGCTAGGGATGGGGGTCGGATAAACGATGCCCACTCTCCCCGAAGACGCGCGGATTTCTTGGATCCGCGCTGGGCCCCCCCCGGCGGCGCCTCCGGCGCCGCCCCTGGAGCGCTCCGCGCGCCTAGGAGGGGGTTCCAGCCCAGACCCAAGAAATCCGCGCGGAGCGCCAAAAATTCAATGTTTATGGCGTTTTTTCTTCTTCTATCTCCCCTCCCTCCGCTGACCCGGGTTGGGGAGCTGCTGCGTGACCGTCCTGGGTTTGGGATACTGGCCGACCCGTTCTGCCAGCGCTGGCACGGGTGGGTGAGCGCGTCCTTCCAAAAGGGGAAGGAAGGAGCATGGGGTGATGGAAGAGGGGGGCCAGAGTGAGCTCGCGATGCGTCGACGACGGTGAAAGCAACCCTCCCGTGCCAAATCCCAAGCCCCCCTCCTTCAGGGTCTTTGCCAGCCTTCTCCTCGCTGCGGGAGGACCTCCCGCTCCGCTTGGCGGCGCGCACAGCTTGGCGGTACGAGGGGGCTGCCTTCTGCATGCTTCAACGTTGCAGCGCGGCAGAGGCAGCCCGCACGCGCGCTGGGGCAAGCCGGGCAACCGTTGCCTTCTACACAGGCGGGGGGGGCTTTTCAGAAGGCAGGCGCCTTTTCGGAAGAGCCCAGGAAGCTCCCGAGACTCCGCGGGCGACATCTATGCATCGTGCCGCGTTGGCGTCTCCCGAGGCGTCGTCGATCCTCGACCCAGGAACGGTGCGGTTCTCAAGTTTTTCGGCCCTCGGAGCCAGAGAACTGTACACCGTACTCCGAATTTCACAATAAGCATCGGGGGGGGCGTCACCCCGCCGAAAGCCCCACATCGACCCCGGTCGCGGGGAGCCACCGCGCGCCGAAGGCGCTCCGACCCCCGTCGCGGCGCGAGGACGAGGCGAGGTTGACCCCCGTCGGGGGGGTACCCCCCCGCTGATCAAGAAACCCAGAGTGCCGCGTTGGAACGGGTCCTGAATGGGAATGCAAGCGTGGCGCGGTGCATGGGCGCCGCTCTCGCAGGGAAGCCCCCTCCGGGGATGCCGAGGGCCCCTGCCTTCCAGGAAGCCCCCCCCCCGTCGCCCTCCTTGGAAGGCCGTGTTTCTCCCCTCTTGCGCCATCCCCGCTCTCCTTGTCGCGCCAGCGGAGCCCCCCCCCCCGATCCCGAGAAAACACGGGGATCGAGGATATCCAGCGAGGATCTAGGAGCGAGGGGCGAGGATCGAGGATCGAGCGAGGGTCGAGGATCGCGAGTCAGGATGGAGGAGGGAGGAGCGAGGAGCGAGGAGCGAGGATCGAGGATCCAGCGAGGGTCGAGGATCCGAGCGAGGGTCGAGGACCGAGCGAGGATCGAGAATCCCCGTTGTCGCGACACCAGATCCTCGCGCGATCCCCCTTCCTTCCGGAAGCCGCCCGAAAGCCGCCGGAGACCGCCCGAGACTGCCGAGGGCCGCCAGAGGACTGGCAGAGGACCGTCAGAAGACTGCAGAGAGGCGCCCAAGGCCGATGGGTGACGAGAGGCGGTTCTTCCATCAGGCTCGGGCAGGTCTGCCTGCCTGGAGGGGGGACGGGGGGGTGGGGGCGTGGCGAGGCACGAGCGGAGAGCTGGACTGCACGCAAGGCGGGACCCACCCCCTGCACGCCTCTTCGGCCGAGCTCTGTTGGAAGAGGCGGTGCGTTGGGGCATGCAGGTAGCTCTGCCCGAGGCTGAAGTTAGTTGCACCAGAGGAAACCCCAATCAGTGGATGGTTTTCGCCGAGAAGATCGACCAGGAAAACGGGAGCCCGGGAACCCAGAACACACCGAAATCGGCCGGAACCACTAACTGGGAACCCGGGAACCCGGAACCGGGAACCCGGGAACCCAGAACCCTACCAAAGTCGGCGGGAAACTTTCGCCAAATCTTTCAACTTCCGCTAGGACCCCTTCAGTGCAAGCACTGATTGGGGAAAAAAATGTTCTCGCGCGCGTCGCGGTCCAGGCCATCTGTTGCCAGAGCGGTCGCCTTGCCCCACGGGCGGCGGCGCGGGGGCGCGGGGGCGCGAAGAGATGAAGTCGCGCGTCGCGCAGCCGTGGGGCGCGACGGTGCGAGTGCAGGTGACCCAGGGCAGGGCGGCGAGATCTGTACAGATCCACTGCCCGCAGCCAGGCCCATCCTGGGCCCAGGAGGAGCAGTGTGATCTACACCTATAGGCGATGCTTAAGAAAACCTAAGTTTTCGGCCAGAGTCTCGATTATTCTTAACGTTTCAATGTGAATCCCAAGATTTTGATAGAAGTTCTGGGTTTTATTCAATTTCTGAGACTATGAATTTCTTAACCCATGATTTCTTAAGCATTTCGCAGGGTGTACGCCCTCCTGGCCAGGGAGGCACGCGCCCCGCTCCCTGCGGGGCCCGGGAGGGGCCTGGCCAGATGCAGGTGCAGACAGGCGATGTCCTGCGTCTTTCAGTGCGCGGTCCCCCTGTAAGCCCTGGCCCCTCTCCCCAGGGCCGGTTCTTCGCGACAGGCGTTTTTTTGGGGGGCCATCCTGGGGCTCAGCAGGGCCCCCCGGAGGCCGAAGGCGGAGCAAGCCCTCCGTCCTGATTTCTGCAGGAAGCTGCGTGCCTGGGCAGACCTCGTCGCCCCATACCCTGGGCCCCGGATAACGAAGAAGACCCCCCTTGTCCTCCAGAGAGTTGATGATCCCAGGCCAGGACAGAGTTGGTCGGGGGAGAGGGGCGGCGAGGCCGAGCTCCACTGTCGCTGGGGAGAGTACGAAGCGAAGGTGCTGTCTTCCCATGTGGAGTAGCAGCAGTATCACGAGCGTGCGGCTGGGCTCTGGGGTTCTCGCCATTTCAGCTTTCTCATGTCACGAACGTGTGGCAATGCCACCAGATTCTCACTAATTCGGCTTTCCCATGTCACGGACGCGTGGCAGGGCCATGGGATTCTCATCATGTCAATTTCCCCCAGTCACAAACATCCCAGCCCTACCTCCGTACATACGAGATGCAGGGTTGAACAATTCATTATTCCCCGGAACCCCGAACCTTATCATCCCCCAGGGATTATTATCAGGGGCATAGGGTTAGCCTCAGGCGGTCTTTAGTCTTGATTCCCCCTTTTCCTTAGGCGGTGAAGAGGACTGGTCCTAAAACCTCCTCCTCCTTCTCCTGCGCCCTCCTCCTCCTCCCTCCTCCTCCATCTCCTCCTCCTCCTCCTCCTCCTGCTCCTCCTCCTCATCCTCCTCCGGCTCCTTCTCCGCCGTGGCCATTTTGGCTCAAGCAATTCCCGTTGCCTTTCCCACTATCATTCCGTCTGCCCTGCCGCGCCCGCGCCCCACGGCCATACCTACCTCGTCGCTCCTGAGTGGGATCGCGCTGCGTGGCTTTCTTCGGTGCCATACCTTCGGTGTCCTCTTCTTCTTCTTTTTGAAGGAGGAGGAGGAGGCAGATCTTCTTCAATCGGCAGGATCTGGTCTGCTTGTCATCGTGGCCGTCGTCGATGTCTCTCAACTTTGCTTTGGGCGCACTTGGTATCCATGGCCGACGGAGTCACCTGCCGACACGGACATGTGCGGAGGTCAGCAGCGCATGCGATTCCATCATGTTGCTCAGGGCCTGCCATCGCGGAGTACTCCCTTACGGCGCTCCCCATGACGTGGTTCATCGGCGAGTTCAGGATCTTAGGCGTGGCGTGGCGTTCTGCTTCAGTTTGGGCTGGAGTTTTTACCCAGTGCCCCACATCGTCGTTCGCTTCATGAAGTGGTTCGGCGGGCTGCGGAACGCGGCATCTTCTCTGGCACGGTACTTGAGGAGGTGAACGGCATCGTTCGACGTGCGAATGCGGCTCGGCACCAGCGGTGGAGGCCTACGTCATTAGATGGAGTGGCTCCGCGGTCTTCTCCTGGGGGCTCTGCAATGGAATTCGTGCCGTGTCTTCCACTGGTGTATTCGGACGAGGTGCTCGCCAAGTGTTCCCGGATAGCTCTCTGAGAGCTAAGAGGGTTTCAGATTAGAAGCTGGTACCGCAGGGTAGCCCCGGACCTCGTTCGGGTTTCCGGCAGGGATCCCCTCTGCGGCTCTTGCGAGCTTCTCACGGGTCCCGGAAGGCCTGTTCTCAGCGTTTCCCAACACGTGTGCCCGGAAGCTCTCCAGCATCTCTTCCGGAAGCTCATTCCAGGAGCTTCCAGAGCTCTCTCCAGATGCTGTCGGAAGGCCTTTGGGCGCTTCGCTATCCAGGCTTTGGACTTCACAAGTTTCGGCGTGATGGCGGATACAGCCCCTGACCCCTGGCCAGGCGTTCGAGACGGGCTTGGTGTGGTGGAGTGAGGCAAGCCTGAGTCTGGTCGTGTGAGTCCCACCCAAAGCGAGATCATTGACGACATGAATTTCTTGTGCGATGACTGCCCTGGCGGCGATGACGACCCTTGCGCAGGGGAGCACGGTGCGTTGCACGACTGTGCGCTTCGGGAACATGGCGATCTTCCCGGTGGACCTGGTGAAGTGCCTCCTGCATCTGGCGGTGTTCTCCGGGAGCCTGCAGGTGCACCTCCTGAGCCTGGCCCAGTTCTTCGGGAACCCGAGGCTGCACTCGGCGAGCCTGCTGGCACTCTTCTGGTGGCCGGTGTGGGACGCTTGGATCCTGTTGCTGATCTGGGTGCGGGTGTTCGTGGCCTTCCTAAGCCTGGTGCTGTTCGGATCGAGGTGCGTGGGGATCGAACTGAACAGCACGCTGCACGTCGAGAGTCTGATGTTGTGTGTAATGAGCTTGGACGTTTCCCTCCTGACAATGATTCGATTTGTTTTCGTCGTGGGTCGGATGTTATTCCTGGTACGCCCGCTGATTTACATTGCGCCTTGTGACGGACGTCGGGAGCAGGATGATGTTCGTCGGGTGCAGGTCGCGGTACGCCTGGAGCCTGATGATCTTCACAGTGAGCCTGTTAAGCTACGTCGTGAGCCTGGTGATAATGTACGTCGTGGGCCTGGTGGGGTCGCTCCAGCGACTGGTGCTCCACGCGATGAGCCTGATGACGAAAATGGAGTGGGAGCCGTCGTTCCATGCTTCTTCGGGCCGTACCAAACGTTCGACTACGAACGTCGTGAGCCTCATGATGGACTTGGCGAGGCAGTTGGCGTGCGTCGTGGGCATGGTCGTCCCCTCCCCTGAGCCTGGTCCCGAACGTGGTGCAGCTCCTTCCGCTCGTTGTGGGGCTGAGGATGTTCGTAATGCGCCTGAGGATGCACGTCTCGAGCCCGCTGGTGTTCGTCGGGGCCCCGAGGAGAGTCGTCGGGAGCCTGGGGATGCACGTCGAGAGCCTGATATGGGGGTTCGCAGTGAGCCCGAGGACGACGCTCGTCGTGGGCCTGGGCGTGCTCCTCCTGAGCCTTGGGATGTGCGTGCTGCGTCGGTGCTCGTTGCTGCGCGTCGGACTGGGGCTCCTGGCCGACAGAACCTAGGCTTGAGTCGGGCCTGTCCTTCTCCAGGGAGAATATTCAGAAATAGTCGGAAAATAGTCTGGGGACGATTTCTGGACAATTTCTGCCCATTTGGGGAGTATTATGTGAGTTTTTTTTGTGTGGGGGGGGGGGTATGGGTATTTTTTATTTTTGTTGCCCCAAATCCGCCTGCAGGGGGGCACGCCCGACCTGAACCTGGGCGAGGAGGGCGAAGGCCAGGAGGCGCAGGGGCAGGGCTCGCGCACCCTGCGGTGGCAGGCCGGTGCTGCCCGGAGGCCGGCTCCTCGAGCCCCCGACCCACTGCGGCAACTCCTTCTCTCCTCCTCCTCCTCCTCCTCCTCCTTCCTCCTCCTTCCTCCTCCTCCTCCTTCCTCCTCCTCCTTCCTCCTTCTCCTCCTCCTCCTCCCTCCTCCCCCCCCGAGATCCGTATACCAAGCACAGGGGGCCCGCTCTCCGCCCACCTCGACCCACTGAGGATAGACCTCCCGACGAAGGAGTTGCCGTTTTCGGTTCGCGAGAGGGCGTCGCGGCCGTCATTTTTGCGGGTCCAGGTGCGCCGGTTTCGGTCCCTGGCCGTTGTCATCGAGGGGAGGTTTACGAAAGGGAGGCCTGTCCGCCGCCGAAGCACCCCGTTTTCTTGCCGAAGCTCCCGAAGATGTGGCCTCGGGGGCTGGCGAGTGGTGGACGGTGGGGCGCCCAGAAGGCCTCATGTGGGCTGCCGCGGTCCTCGACTCTCCTCCTCCTCCTCCTCCTCCTCCTCCTCCTCCTTCCTCCTCCTCCTTCCTCCTCCTCCTCCTTCCTCCTCCTCCTCCTTCCTCCTTCTCCTCCTCCTCCTCCTCCCTCCTCCCCCCCCGAGATCCGTATACCAAGCACAGGGGGCCCGCTCTCCGCCCACCTCGACCCACTGAGGATAGACCTCCCGACGAAGGAGTTGCCGTTTTCGGTTCGCGAGAGGGCGTCGCGGCCGTCATTCTTGCGGGTCCAGGTGCGCCGGTTTCGGTCCCTGGCCGTTGTCATCGAGGGGAGGTTTACGAAAGGGAGGCCTGTCCGCCGCCGAAGCACCCCGTTTTCTTGCCGAAGCTCCCGAAGATGTGGCCTCGGGGGCTGGCGAGTGGTGGACGGTGGGGCGCCCAGAAGGCCTCATGTGGGCTGCCGCGGTCCTCGACTCTCCTCCTCCTCCTCCTCCTCCTCCTCCTCCTCCTCCTTCCTCCTCCTTCCTCCTCCTCCTCCTTCCTCCTCCTCCTCCTTCCTCCTTCTCCTCCTCCTCCTCCTCCCTCCTCCCCCCCCGAGATCCGTATACCAAGCACAGGGGGCCCGCTCTCCGCCCACCTCGACCCACTGAGGATAGACCTCCCGACGAAGGAGTTGCCGTTTTCGGTTCGCGAGAGGGCGTCGCGGCCGTCATTCTTGCGGGTCCAGGTGCGCCGGTTTCGGTCCCTGGCCGTTGTCATCGAGGGGAGGTTTACGAAAGGGAGGCCTGTCCGCCGCCGAAGCACCCCGTTTTCTTGCCGAAGCTCCCGAAGATGTGGCCTCGGGGGCTGGCGAGTGGTGGACGGTGGGGCGCCCAGAAGGCCTCATGTGGGCTGCCGCGGTCCTCGACTCCTCCTCCTCCTCCTCCTCCTCCTCCTCCTCCTCCTCCTTCCTCCTCCTCCTTCCTCCTCCTCCTCCTTCCTCCTCCTCCTCCTTCCTCCTTCTCCTCCTCCTCCTCCTCCCTCCTCCCCCCCCGAGATCCGTATACCAAGCACAGGGGGCCCGCTCTCCGCCCACCTCGACCCACTGAGGATAGACCTCCCGACGAAGGAGTTGCCGTTTTCGGTTCGCGAGAGGGCGTCGCGGCCGTCATTCTTGCGGGTCCAGGTGCGCCGGTTTCGGTCCCTGGCCGTTGTCATCGAGGGGAGGTTTACGAAAGGGAGGCTTGTCCGCCGCCGAAGCACCCCGTTTTCTTGCCGAAGCTCCCGAAGATGTGGCCTCGGGGACTGGCGAGTGGTGGACGGTGGGGCGCCCAGAAGGCCTCATGTGGGCTGCCGCGGTCCTCGACTCTCCTCCTCCTCCTCCTCCTCCTCCTCCTCCTCCTCCTCTTCCTCCGGTGCACCGAAAACACGATGCGATGTGCCACTGGCGCCGTCGCCGAGTTTTGGATGGCCGACGGCGATTCGTCGCAACCTGGGCACGTCAGAGCAGCGACACTGTAGGTGCTGACCATTGTGGCGTCATCCTGCCATGGCCCTCCTGCGCTTCTCCTTCCACCTGTGCTGCTGCTGGGTCAATGACTTTGTCCTCACGGCTGGCCTCGCCCCCCCTAAAGGGGGCTCCTCGTCGCCATGGGTCGCTGGTCTCATCTCCTGGGGAAAAGACAACTCCCTCGTCCTCCTCCTGCTGCTGCTGTTCCTCCTCCTCCTCCTCCTCCTCCTCCTCCTCCTCCTCCTCCTCTTCTTGGGGGGATATTCTAAGAGTCCTTCAGAGGTTAGGGTCCTCGATCGCCGATGCCGCAGCAGACGGCGCCGAGGCGCCCCTGCAGGGCGGCGAGTTCCATGGCGGCGGGTTCCAGGCGGCCCCCCCGCGGCCTCCTGCGGGCGGGCGCTTCCTCGGCCGAGCCCCGCCGCCCGCCGCGGGGGGCCCACTCCTCGACCCGGCCCCGTCCGATCCGATCGTCGGTTCCGGCCGGCTCGATCCGATTCGACTCATGCTCCGATGCAGGGTCATGAGCACATGACATGACGGACGGTTTTCCGTTATTTTCGGCTTCCGGGGGCCCTCAACTGGCCTCGGGGCCGTCAGGAAAATTATTCAGGATGGAAAGCTGGTCCCAGGGAATGGGTCGAGACCTCTGGGGGTCGACTTGATGAAAAAATCCTGGCGTCGGGAGTCTGCGAGGGGGGATGGACGAGGAGGAGAAGAAGGAGGAGGAGGAGGAGGAGGAGGAGGAGGACCAGCGACCATCCAACATGTGTCGACGATCCGATGCGGCCCGATGCTCGCACGGGCGCTGTTGTGCACCCTGGCGCGGCTGGCGAGGTGCGGTCCGAGTCTGATGCCGTGCCGAGGTGTCCCGACCCGGTGCCCGTGCCGACGACCCGATCCGATTCGTCGAGCCGATGTTGGCCGCCCCTGCCCCCCCCTCCCCAGGAGGAGGCAGGCGACCCGTCCTTCTCCTCCTCCTCCTCCTCCTCCTCCTCCTCCTCCTCCTCTCTTCCTCCTCCTCCTCCTCCTCCTCCTCCTCTTCCTTCTCCTCCCTCCTCCTCCTCCTCCTCCTCCTCCTCCTCCTCCTCCTCCTCCTCCTCCTCCTCTCCTCCTCCTCCTCCTCCTCCTCCTCCTCCTCCTCCTCCTCCTCCTCCTCCTCCTCCTCCTCCTCCCCCTCCCCAGGAGGAGGCAAGAGGGAGAGGGAGGAAAACCCGAAGCTCGAAGCTCGGATTTCGCCGCTCGAGGTTTTTCCGAGAGGATTTGGCTCTCTCAGGGGGCCCCCAGGAGGCCCACCGTTGCTACGAGGAGAATCCCCCCCAGGCCCTCCCCGTTGCCCGCCTCCCCTCTTCGTCGTCCTCTTCGTCCTCTCCGTCTCGTCCTTCTCTCCGTCCACTTCGTCCTCTCCGTGCTCTTCGTCCTCGTTCGTCTTCTCCTCCTCTTCCTCCTCCTCCTCGTCTCCTCCTCTTCTTCTCCTCCTCGTCTTCGTCCTCTCCTCCTCCGTCGTCATCGTCCTCCTCCTCCTCGCCTCTCTGCACTGCATCGTCGTCCTTGCACGCGCCCGCCCGCGGGCACCGGAGGCTTTTTTTCTCCTCCAGCCTGGGTCAGGGGCTGCGGCTGGCAGGCCCGGAGGTGGAGGATTTCTCCGAAGGGCTTAGGCGACCCGTCCTTCTCCTCCTCCTCCTGCTCCTGCTCCTCCTCCTCCTCCTCCTCCTCCTGCTCCTCCTCCTCGGGTCGCCTACGGCCCCGGGGGAAACCGTGCAGCCGGAGGGGGTTTCAGCGGCTTCCCAGCGTGGAAAGGTACATCGGGAGCGGCGTCGACCTCGAACCCCAGAGCCCTGACCCCCTCGAGCTGAGAAAAATCACGGCGGAAGGTTTTTCGCTGTTTTCGGCCTCTGAGGGCCCTTGCCTGGCCTCGGGACCGTCAAAAAACGACTCAGGATGAGAAACCGGTCCCAGGAATGGCTGCGGACCTCTGGGGTCGCGTCGCGAAAAAATCACGATGTCGGGGGGTCTGGGAGGTCTGGACCCCTCTCCCTGGGACCGGTTTCTCAGCCTGAGTCGTTTGTGGATGGTCCTGGGGCCCGGCAGGGCCCTCAGAGGCCGAAAGTAGCGAGGATCTTCCGTCGTGATTTCTCTTCACAGCGCGAAGGGGTCTGGTGCGTGTGGGGGAAATCTCGGGGCATCGGGCCTGGCGATCGGCGAGCCTGCGCGCTGCTCGGTCTTGCGGCTCTCTGGTGCTGCTGCTCTTCTTCCTCCTCCCCCCTGTCGTCCTCCTCCTCCACCATCTTCGTCGCCCTCGCCCTTCACCTCCTCCTACTCCTCCTTCTCCATCTTGCTGCGTTCTCCCCAGCCTTTCTCCACTCCGCGTCGTCCTCCTTTCTTCCTCTTCCTCCTCCTCCTCCTCCTCCTTGTCCTTTATCTTCCTCCATTCGAACGGCAGTTCACCTGTCGCTTCTCCCTTTTGCATGCTGTCATGGTCTCCCCCTACCGCTGCCGTTTTTTGTTGGGAGCATGGAAGCTGGCCAAGCTTCCGTGCCCGCCTCAGACGCGCCTTAGTCCCATTGTACTTATTGTACATTCCGCCTTAATCCGTTTACCGAAACGATCTTCACATCCACGTCCTCCTTTCTAATTGGTCGCGGGGCAGGTTCGCCCCTGCTCCCACCACGGCCGCCATGTCTCGCCTCGCGTCAACCGCAATGGCTTCCACCATCCGCCGCCTTCGACTTTGATCGTTCGCCTTCAACATCTACGACTTCGTGCACCCCCTCCCGCCCATTATGGCAGGAAACGTTGCTCGAGGGTCCGTGGGGGCATTCGCCCATCCGCCAGGACCAGTCACCGAGAACGTGCACATTCAGTACCTCGTCAAGGACAACAGCACCAATATTTACAATAACCGCTCGGCGACCCATCCCAGGCATACTCGGACTTTGTCCAGGCAGCTCGTGGACCGCAAACTATCAGTGCCCCCGCCCGTGGTTGTAGCGTCAGGTGTTAGATAGTTGCTCGAAACGACGTTCACATCTGCGGCGTCAAAACAAGGTCCCGAACTTCTTGGAATTGTGTTTCGAGAGCCCTGGGAGGAACAAGCGGAGAAGAGGCATCCGGCGAATGTGTCGCCGGTGCCGATCGGGGATGCAGTAGGGAACATGGGAACCTTGTTCCTACCCCCCCGAGGTAATGCAGTGGGGGGCATGACGACTGGGGCTCCATCGCTCCGAGGCACCGCACCTCGGGAACCGACTCTTCGCTTTGCCCACTCAGACCTGCCAGCCGGGCAGGACGGGGTCCCGATGCGCAATCCTCCAGACGGTCGTGCAATTGGCAAATGGCGGTGCTCAGCACACTGACCACACGATGTACGAAGAGCGTTCCTGTGACTGTGTCGCGGGTTGCCCTGGGTACCGTGAACGCTACAGTGATGCGACAGAAGCAGACGCCCAATGCGTTGGGCGAGGAGAAGCGCACCTCGGCAATGTCGGCTCTGATGAACTTCGACTGACTGCCGCAGGAGCGCGGCGACGTCCCATCCTGACGAGGTTCGACATCCTCCGCAACTGGGCGCAACAAGCTGGTCAGTTCATGATTGGCTACGAGGGGTTCGGCTTCCTCCTGCTGCGCGCCGTTAGCGTGTCGACCGCTCAACGCACCAGACCCCCACAGCATTGCAATGTGGCTTACCACGCGGGCGCTCACCCATGTGACGGGCCAGCTGGGACGCTTTGGGCACACAGGCAACCTCTCCTCGGCCGTCGGGGCGGTTTTGGTCGTTTTGGGCCTGGGGGCCCCTACGGGTCCCCGTGACCGTCAAACGACGATTGAGGACGAAAAGCGAGTTCCAGGGATAGATTCTTTACGCTTCGCGTATCCCCACCAGCCCATCTCAAAACAGCAACTCTTGCGAAACATGCCAACCGTCGTGTTTTTCAGGCGTGTTTCCGCCTGCCCCCGCATATCTCCCCTGTTCCTCCTTCCTCCCGCCTCCTTGTACATCCTCCTTGTGGTGGGAACGGGGGAAGGACGAGGCGGAGGAGGAGGGAGAGAAAGCGCTCCTCGTGGTGTGAGTAGTTCGGGCGCCTCGTCCTGGTGTGAGTCGTTCGGGCCCTTCCGTGTGGTGTGAGTCGTTCGGGCTCTTCGTGGTGTGAGTCGTTGGGGCCCCACGGCGTGGTGTGAGTCGTTCGGGCTCCTCGTGGGGCCTCTTGGGAGCCTCTTGGAGCCTCTCGGGGCCTCAGGGGCGTCTCTTGGGGGCCTCTTGGGGGCCTCTTTGGGGCCTCTTGGAGCTTCTTGGGGCCTCATGGGGGCCTCTAGGGAGCCTCTTGGTGACCTCTTGGGGCCTCTTGGGGGCCTCTTGGAGGTTTCGTGGGAGCCTCCTGGGGGCCTCTTGGGGTCATCTTGGAGCCTCTTGCGACCTCCTCAGAAGCGGAAATGAGCGCTGCCCCCTGAGAAGGATAAAATGACGCCACAAACTTTGTAAAATCAATGATTGTGTGAGTGCCTCGGGCCCTTCATTGTGTGTGAGTCGTTCGGGCTCCTCGTGGTGTGAGTCGTTCGGGCCCCTCGTCCTGGTGTGCGTCGTTGAGGCCCTTCCTTGTGTGTGAGTCGTTCGGGCTCCCCGTGGTGTGAGTCGTTCGGGCCCCGCGTCCTGGTGGGAGTCGTTCGGGCGCCTCCTTGCGTGTGAGTCGTTCGGGCTCCTGGTGGTGTGAGTCGTTCGGGTCGCTCCTCCTGGTGTGCGTCGTTCGGGCCCCTCCTTGTGTGTGAATCGTTTGGGCTCCTCGTGGTGTGAGTCGTTGGGGCTCCTCGTCCTGGGGGGGGTCGTTCGGCCTCCTCGTGGGGCCTCTTGGGGGCCTCTTGGAGGTTCTCGGGGCCTCATGGGAGCCTTTTGGGGGGTGTCTTTGGGACCTCTTGGGGGCCTCTTGAAGCGTCTTGGGGCCTTTTGGGGGGCTTCTTGGGGGCCTCTTGGGGGCCTCTTGGGGCCTCATGGGGCCTCTTGAGACTCTCGTCCATTATATCGGCCACTTGTTGTTGTGATGCATGTTTCACTCCTTGCCCCATTGGCCCCGCCCTCGTGGCAGCAGCGTTGTGGCGGCGAACGCTCGAGGACATGCAGGCACGGTTGCCACCGCGGACTGCCGCAGACACGCGCCATTGTCGAGCTTGTATTTGCACGATTTCGCCCCCGTACGAAGTTAGGGCACCCTGTCCCTCGCTGCCAAGGGGGTGAGAGGTGTCGGGATTTTTTGTTAGGAGGTCGATCGGGCCCTCGCCAGGCCTGGAAGACGAACCTCCGATGATCCTTTAGCGCGCTCGTGCGCAGTAGGCGCGTCGTGCGTTACGCAACGTGCTGGCTGAACTGCACCCGCCCTTGCCCATCAGAGAAGGAAAAAAGAAAACAAAGCAGGAAGAAGGCCTCCCCTAAACGTGCAGGTTTGCAGTGCCACGGGAGGGCCTCCAGAGATAATGCGAGAGTTCGCGTCTGTGTGCGTTGCAGGTGTGTGAGTCGTTCCGGCTCTTCGTGGTGTGAGTCGCTGGGGCCCCTCGTCCTTCCTTGTGTGACTCCTTCGGGTCCCTCATTATGTGTGAGTCGTTCGGGCTCCTCGTGGTATGAGTCCCCTCCTTGTGTGTGAGTCGGTCGGGCCCCTCCTCCTGGTGTAACTCGTTCGGGCTTCCCGTGGTGTGAGTCGTTGGGAGCCCGCGTCGTGGTGTGAGTCGTTCGGGCTCCTTGTGGTGTGAGTAGTTCGGGCGCCTCGTCCTGGTGTGAGTCGTTCGGGCCCTTCCGTGTGGTGTGAGTCGTTCGGGCTCTTCGTGGTGTGAGTCGTTGGGGCCCCACGGCGTGGTGTGAGTCGTTCGGGCTCCTCGTGGGGCCTCTTGGGAGCCTCTTGGAGCCTCTCGGGGCCTCTGGGGCGTCTCTTGGGGGCCTCTTGGGAGCCTCTTGGGGGCCTCTTGGAGCTTCTTGGGGCCTCATGGGGGCCTCTTGGGAGCCTCTTGGTGACCTCTTGGGGCCTCTTGGGGGCCTCTTGGAGGTTTCGTGGGAGCCTCCTGGGGGCCTCTTGGGGTCATCTTGGAGCCTCTTGCGACCTCCTCAGAAGCGGAAATGAGCGCTGCCCCCTGAGAAGGATAAAATGACGCCAAAACCTTCGTAAAATCAATAATTTTGCTGTGAAGGACGATGAGCACGGCCCCCTCAGAAGGCCAAAAAGGGGCCAAAACCGTAGTAAAATCAATGTTTCTGGCTTCGAAGACGAGTTGAGGCGCCAAACTGCCCCCCCCCCCCCCCCCTCGGGACCAGAATCCTCGTGAGGGTCGTCGTTTTTTGGCCCTCCCAGGAGTCGAAAAAAACCCCCTTGACACCACTCGGCCCGCCCTCTCCAGGTCCAGGGGAGGGGGTAGGGGGAGGGGTAAACCCCTCCCCGAAGGGGAAGATAGGGGGTTTGGGTGTTGAGAACAGAGAGAGCTCGCTAAACCACTCCCGCCCAAAAGGCTGGTGGGACTTCCAGGGACCCCGTATTGAAATAATCAGGACATCGCGTGTTTGGGGTCTCGCCGTCCTTCTGGACGCCCTTGGTCTGCATATCGTCCCAACGCCGTGCACACTTGCAGCGCTGATCCCATCATCGGATTGTTTCGCGGATGTCTGCGTCGTGCGTCCTGCGTCGCGGGTGCCCCCGATGCACCTCCCGCTGCCGCTCCTCCGCGAGCCGCCGCGCGCGCGTGCTGCCCCTTGGCCGCCCCTGGCGTAGGGCGGCGGCGGCGGCGGCTTCTACCAGCCGCAGCAGCCTTTCCAGCCGCAAAAGGCAGGCCGCTTCCGCCGCCCCCGTGGAGGTGCCTGCGCCGCGCGCGCGGCGGGTGCCGAGGCACCGAGGACGAAGGAGAGGAGGAGGAGGATAGTGAGGAGGAACAGGAGGAACAGGAGGAACACGAGGAGGAGGAGGCGGAGGAAAAGGAATAGGAATAGGAGGAGGATGATGATGGGGAGGAGGAGGATGAGGATGAGGATGGGGATGAGGAGCGGGAGGAAGAGGAGGAGGAGGATGAGGAGGAAAAAGAGGTGGAGGAAAACTAAACTAATAATCAGCAGGTTATCAGTTCGAGTAGTAATGTGAAGAATAAAAACATTACTACTACTCATATTGAGAATAACGATGCGACCAAACATATGACTTAGAATGATGATACTAATCAGAATACCAAAACGGATGGTAACACTAGTAGTGCGAAGAAGAATACGGCACATAATAATAAACATCGTGTGAATAATCAACATAATGTTGTTCATAGTAAGCAGAAAATTGTAATATTACGAATAATGAGTAAACCGAATATTACGAACAAGAAGCATCGTACTATTATTAAGAAGCGTATTTTTTTGCCAACAAGAAGAATTCGAATACTAGTAATACGAAGAAGGCAACTATTCAGGATATTTCGGATGATGCTGCCAACAATATGAAGGTGCCGACTAGTGCCAATAATAATATTACGAAGAAGAAATACGAATCATGATACGAATGATAATAGCAACGCTAAGACTTGTAGTACCAATCGTAGCAACGATATACATAGTAATGCTGACAGCGCTGTTGAGGCACATGCGTATTATACGACGAATAATTATCCCGGCAAAGCAACCTAACAGCGATGTGTAGAAGCATATCTGAAAGCATTCCCCTTAAGATTCAGATGAAAATCCAGTTGTAGATTTCTGCTGTTCTCGCAGTCGTAGTCGCATTCGCGATGACAGTCGCAGCGGCAACGGCAGTCGCAGTCACAGCCTCAGCCTCAGCCTGCCTCAGCCTCAGCCTCAGCCTGCCTCAGCCTCAGCCTGCCTCAGCCTCAGCCTCAGCCTGCTTCAGCCTCAGCCTCAGTCTGCCTTCAGCCTCGGCCTCAGCCTCAGCCTGCCTCAGCCTCAGCCTGCATCAGCCTCAGCCTCAGCCTCAGCCTGCCTCAGCATCAGCCTGCCTTCAGCCTCAGCCTCAGCCTGCCTCAGCCTCAGCCTCAGTTTGCTTCAGCCTCAGCCTCAGTCTGCCTTCAGCCTCGGCCTCAGCCTCAGCCTGCCTCAGCCTCAGCCTGCCTCGGCCGCAGCATCAGCCTGCCTCAGCATTCAAAATGTGGCCCAGGAATGGAGTTCTGGGAACTAGAAGAACACGAAGTGGCCTACAGTTGGCTCCGGGCATTCAAAATCATGCCCAGGAATGGAGTTCTGGGAACTTGAAGAGCACGAAGTGGCCTACAGTTGGCTCCGGGCATCCAAAATGTGGCCCGGGAATGGAGTTCTGGGAAATCGAAGAGCACGAAGTGGCCTACAGTTGGCTCCGGGCATTCAAAATGTGGCCCGGGAATGGAGTTCTGGGAACTCGAAGAGCACGAAGTGGCCTACAGTTGGCTCCGGGCATTCAAAATGTGGCCCGGGAATGGAGTTCTGGGGACTCGAAGACCACGAAGTGGCCTACAGTTGGCTCCGGGCATTCAAAATGTGGCCCGGGAATGGAGTTCTGGGAAGTCGAAGAGCACGAAGTGGCCTACAGTTGGCTCCGGGCATTCAGAATGTGGCCCGGGAATGGAGTTCTGGGAGGTCGAAGAGCACGAAGTGTGTGACTGTTGGCTTAAAACGACTTCTGCGGCACCCTGTCCGGCACCCGCCCAGACCCCCCTGTGGAGTCATCTGCTGCTCTCTTTTGAGTCTTGTAGAAACCTATCAGTCTTCGCTGTTAGGTAATTAAAACAGTACCAATATTTACCATACGAAAAACAACAACAATGACTACTAACAGTAAGCGTACGACTAAACGTAATCGTACTAATCGCACTAATCATACTAGGCCAAAACATGAATGATTAAATTAAATAGAAGAATAAGCTTGGTCATACTAAGAAGAATACGAATATGAGTAACAAACAATCGGAGCATTACGACTAATGAGGACCAGATTTTTTTGTGTTTCTTCCCTTATTTTCTTTTTGTTTTCTGTTCCTTTTCCATTTTTCCTTTTTTTCTGTAACATATATATGTATATATATAATGAACATCAGCAGTACGACTGTTATGAATATGAATACGAAGGGTAAAACGAGGACGAGGAGGAGGAGGGGGAGGAGGAGGAGGAGGAGGAGGAGGAGGAGGAGGAGGAGGAGGAGGAGGAGGAAGGGGGGAGGAAGAGGATGAAGAGGAGGAGGAGGAAGAGGAGGAGGAGGAGGAGGAGGAGGAGGACCAGTGTAAACGCAAGAAGCATCAACGATGTTGGAGTACCCCCCCTCCAAGCTCTCTCGTCATAGGTCCCCACAACGCTTCATTCCCACTGATGGAACTGCCTCGTTGGAAGACACCCGTTTGACGACTCTGAAGCATGCCAGAACATTCAACCCAGAGAATCATCGTAACTGGTGCGCCCGCATAATCCTGAATCCTTCCAAAACACCAGCCCTGGTACGTTGATGATGAGAATCCGCGAAACCCTTGCGAATCTAGAAACGAAGGTGCGTCGCGCTAAGGCGAGAGCCATAGTTTGAAAAGGAACCGCCCTCAATCCGTGATCCTCTTACAAATTTCAACATGAATGCGCGCCGCGCTGAGCGGGAGCCACATTTTGAAAACCACCCGCCCTCAATCCGTCAAGCCCTTGCGATTTTTTTAAAACGAATGTGCGCCGCGTTAAGGCGAGAGCCACATTTAAAAAACCACCCGGACTCCATCCGTGAAGCTCTCGCAATTGTTGAAAACGAAAGGGCGCTGCGCTAAGGCGAGAGCCGCATTTTGAAAACCACCCGCCCTCCATCTGTGAAGCTGTTGTCACTTTTTCAGCTTCAGAGTCATAAGTGGTGAGGACGTCTCAGGCGAAACGCCCGGCCCGCCCTGAAACTGGCTTCGGGGTGCGACAGAGAGAAGTTATTTAATCGCTTCGCTCATTCCGCCGGCCCATATTGTCGCACCGTTGTGGGCTAGCCGAGTTTTGGGGGCCGTTTTGGGGCCTCTTGGGGCCTCTTTCGGGCCTCTTGGGCGCCTCTTGGGGCGTCTTGGGGGCCTCTTGGGGGTCTCTTGGGGCCTTTTTGGGGCCTCCTGGGCGGCTTCTGGGGCGGAGGGCTCGATTTTTCAGTTCTCTGTATCCCTCTTGAGCCCCTCTTGGGCCCGTCTTGGGCCTCTTGGTCCGTTTTGGGCGGCACTTGGGCCGTCTTGGGGGCCCTCTTGGGCCGTTTCGGGGCCGTCTTGGGAGCTTCGTGGGCCGTCTTGGAGCGATCTTGGGCGCCTCTTGGGTCGTCTTGGAGCGTCCGGAAGCCGAAAAAGCCAGAACGCAAAAAACATCGGAAAAACCAATGAAAATCAACGATTTTGGCCTCTTGGGGCCCTCTTCGGAGGCCTCTTGGAAGGCTCTTGGGGCGTCTTGAAGGCCTCTTCGGCTGTCTTGGGGGTCTCTTGGGCCGTCTTGGGGTCATCTTCGGCGCCTTGGAGCGCTCTTTGAACGTCTCGGGGGCCTCTTGAGCAATCTTGGGGGCCTCTTGGGGCACTCTTGGCGCGCTCAGGGCGGCCTGAGAGGCCGCACCCAGAAGGAAAACCATCTCTGAGTTGAACCGGGCGGGACCTTCCCAGGCGGCGGGCGGGGTACTTTTCGCCGGGGGACCCCCAGGGGCCGCCCCGCGCGCGCGAACTAGTACAATACAATTGTACAATTGTTAACCAGTTACCGGAGATCTTAGCACGCCTCTGGCCCGTTGGGCCGGCGAATTTAGAAGGACAGGAACGGAGTAGGAGGAGGCGGAGGAGGAGGAGGAGGAGGAGGAGGAGGAGGAGGAGGAGGAGGAGGAGGAAGAGGAGGAGGAGGAGGAGGAGGAGGAGGAGGAGGAGGGAGAGGGGAAGGAGGAGGAGGAGGAGAAGGAGGAGGAAAAGGAGGAGAAGAGGAGGAGGAGGATGAAGAGGAGGAGGGGAGGATAGGAGGAGGAGGAGGCGGAGGAGGAGGAGGAGGAGGAGGAGGAGGATAAGGAGGAGGAGGCGGGGAGGAAGAAGTGGAGAGGGAGGAGGAGGAGGAGGAGGAGGAGAAGGAGGAAGGGGGGAGGGGAGGAGGAGAAGGAGGAGGAGGAGGAGGAGGAGGAAGAGGAACAGGAGGAGGAGGACGAGGAGGAGGATGAGAATCAGGAGGAGGAGGAGGGGAGGAGGCGGAGGATGAGGAGGAGGAAGGGGGAGGGGGAGGAGAAAGAGGAGGAGGAGGAGGAGGAGGAGGAGGAGGAGGAGGTGTGGTGGTGGTGCTGATGCTGATGCTGCTGCTGCTGCTGATGATGATGATGATGATGATGATGATGATGATGATGATGATGATGATGATGATGATGATGATGATGATGATGATGATGATGATGGTGTTGATGATGATGCTGATGATGATGACGAGGATGATGATGATGAGGAGGAGGAGGAGGAACATGTGGAGGATGATGATGATGAGGAGGAGGGGGGGGAGGAGGAGGAGGAGGATAATTAGGAGAAAGAAGAGGACGATGATGAGGAGGAGGAGGCGGGAGGAGTATTAGCATGAAGATGCGGATGAGGATGAGAATGGGGGAGAGGATGAGGATGAAGATGCGGATGAGGATGATGATGATGCTGATGCTGATTATGATGATGCTGATGATGATGATGATGATGATTATGCTGATGCTAATGCTGATGTTGATGCTGATGCTGTTGATGACGATGACGATCACGATGCTGATGATGATGACCATGATGATAATGATGCTGATTATGATGATGCTGATGGTGATGCTGGTGATGCTGATGATGACGATGACGATGCTGCTGCTGATGATGATGCGGATGATGATGGCGCTGATGATGATGACTATGATGATGATGATGATGATGATG